GGAATTGTCACAATAAAGAGTGATGCAATTAAGACATGCTTTATTTCAAACCAATACACATCTCTTTTGTTGCAGACAAAAAATATAGAATGAGATTTTAAATTTTTATTTCATCAATAAATAAAATATTTGATGATAATTATTTTAATTTGAAAATATTTATTATTAAACGACTTTTGGAAAAAAATTAGAAAATTTTAGAAATTATAATATTAAAAAATCTTTAAAAAAAAACATCAAAATAATTAAATTTATAAAATTATAGTAATTTATCAAGATGGTTTTGAGCTAGTTTTTATTTTAATAGCAACCAATTTGGTTGTTCAACCTCAAATATTGTAAAAATTATAAAATTTGCAAACACTTCAAGTATAAGAAGAAAAAAAATTGCTAAATTAAATATAATTTGAAATCAACTAATCTTATGGCACAAAAATTAAAAAAGTGTAGCTTTTTTATTTGTAATTTATGTTTCATTACATACAAAAATATTTGTAAAAACTCTAAATACAAAAATTTATTAGCATAATATTTTGAAGCCATATCTAAAAAATAGTAAAATAATATTTATATACTTTTTAAGTTCTTAATTATATATATATAGATAAGAGATTGTTAAGTAAACATCTTTCTTTTACTTTGTAGACACTTCCTCCCTATGCCATATGTGCCTTTAAAAACATAGTATCTTTATTTTATATCAAAATATTTTAAAATAAAAATTTAATATTAGATTTTTCTAAATAAAATTAATAAATTTTTGAAAATAGATGAAAAATTGAATAAAAAATATTATAATTTTCTAAATTACTAATAATAAAAATAGTGCCAAAGAAAATTACACTCAAATATTTTATTGTAAATTCACCTTAAATTTATTTAATGTAAATAAAAGTTTTTTTTGTGTATATGTAAGATTTGTAGTACAAATGGATATCTATCTAGCAGTTTCATATATATATATATATATATATATATATAGTCAAAATTTAAGTATCATTTGTATGTAAAAAATTATTGTACTAAATATTATACAAGAAAAAATTATATTTAAATTTAGTAAATGTGAACGATAAATATGTAATTTTTTTAACATACAAAGACTTATTTTGGGTGCATTGTGAATTTATTAGAATACATATTGGAACAAAAAAAACAAAGCATTGAAGAAAAAAAATATAAAGAATATTAAAGAATGTAGCAAAGAAAATAATTATTTATTTAAAAATTATATGTATTTATATATAATTTTAATTTATGATATTAATAAATATCTTTTATTAAGAAAAATTCATGTATATTATCAAGAATGCTTTTTAATTGGCATTGTTATTTTATATTAGCAAAAATGTATGTCAATATGTTTATATATATATAGGTATTAAGAAAATCAAATGTGTTAGTTGATTTATTATTTATTTGTCATATATAAAATAGATGTGTATATAAATATATTTATAAGTAAATAACACTTAAATAAAATACTAAAATTATATACTTTAGAAGAAAAAATTAACAATAATTTTTATTTTCATATCCTACAAAAAAATAAAATATGAAATATAAATTTAACATAATTTAAATTTATCTTGTAAAAAATTAATTAAAACATAAAATTTTGAGGTTCAATGTTCTTAAAATTATTACTAGTATACATTAGTATTAGACCAAGAATTGATAATATAACAAAAAGTAAAATGATTATTTTTATAAGAGTTCTTTTACTTTATAGTAATATTTGATATTAAAACTTAATAAAAAATAATACTACAGAAAAAAATATTATTAATATTTAATATTGAATCTTACTATAAAACAAAATGAAGAATGATATAGAATAATTATTTAATACTTTTAATAAGATATCTCAACAAAGTGATTTTTTGCAAAAGACTAATGGTAACAACAAATAAAAAAATAGTATACAAAGATCTATATTTATATAATAATATTTTTTTATCAACTATTTTTAAAAAATAAATATTACAAAAGGAGATGAAATTCTCTATTTTTATGCAAATGATATTATTTAAGATTAATATACAAATAATGTAATAATTTGTGGTTTATAATAATATTCAAAAAATTTGTTTGATCATATAAAATTATCAACTTGATATTTCTAAAATATGTTTTCTATGAATTTTAGTTTTTAAAAATAGTGGTTGAATATATTATTCTTTCTTTTAACTAAAGACCAATTTATTTTCACAAAGATTTTGTTGCTTTCCATACCTATTCTAAAAAGAAGTTGTAGTTATTTTTTATAGTTGTGATGCTATTATAATATCAAAGAATAAGATTCAATATATAATTAAAAAAAACTAAGAATATGATTAAATATAATAATTATTATATATTTTAATTATTTTATAAATTAAATTTAAACAATAAATCATATATGTATGTATTTATACACTAAAAGATGGAATAATAAATGGTCTAATTTTTTAAAATTAAATTATATTAAAATATTAATCCAAAAGGCAATGAATATATAAAAACTAATCATAAAAAAAATATAAGAATTGTTTTTATAAAATATTGACATATAAATTTATTAATGAAATATATATATATATATATATATATATATATATATTCAAATACTACTACTATGGAAGTAGTTGGATATATGTATACTTATTATATGAATAGTATAATTAGATTACATTTAATATTTATTTTTTTTCTTTAATTCAACCAATTTTTTATAAAGACAAGTGTCTAATATAGAGACCTAATTTTTTTTTAGAATTTTTAATATCTTCTTCATTTTTATATTTTAGAACCTTAGATATACAATTTGAGGTCTTTAAAATATGAATCAAAATCTAAAATTTTAAATTTTAAATAAATTAATTAATATTAATAATAATTACAAAGTTATATTTTTTGTTAATTTTTTAAATTTAATTAATTTGAGAAGAAATGTACATTATAAACTTTATTTATTTATTTTAAAGTATTTTATTGAATGCTTAAAAATATGTTGAAATGATTAATAAGAGATTTTGAGTTTAGTTATTAAATAAATTCAAAGATTCTAACCAATCTGAGAATTATTTATTGCAATAATTTTTTTAGATTTATTGGGAAGTTATTACCTTCAAGAAAATTAAGATGATCTTTAATTTTTTCCAAAAACATTATGAATATCAATAATAAAATTATTAATTTATTTTTTATTTTTTATTTTTTGCGAAATACATAAAAACACAAATAAATTACTTTGGAACAATATAATAACTTGATGGTTTCTTTTAAATCAAATAAAATACTACTGAGTTTTACATGCTTATTTCTAATATATTTAAAGGTAATAAAATGATATAAAAAATATTTAGAATGGCAAAGATTTATAACAATACTGTAACCAGCTTTAAGATACAGAAAGATAATAAAAAAAAAAAAAAAATTAAAAGAATTGTTCTAGCTTGGCACCACATATATTGATTTTGATTTAACATAATTAATATTATACAAAAATTAATGTTTACATCTTTAATTTTTTTATTTATATTTAAGACAATCGTAAAAATCTGATTATTATATCTTTTATTCCAAGTGGTCAGAATATATATATTTTTTATTCATAATATCAGTTATAAAACTAGTCACAAAAATTATATACATATATATATATATATATATATCATAATTTAAACAAAAAATAATTACTTAACCATAATAACATCTTAAAAAAATAATTTCCACAAATTCACATTTTCTTTGGATTGCCCATTGAATCTTATATTTGTAAAACCTTAATATCCTAATCATTTACAACCATTACTAATCAACTTGTATCAAACCCAAGCTACAACATATTTCAATGTCCAATTTACTTTCAAGGTATTCAACAATTAATCGCCACCATGTATCAATTTCCCAATCTGCAATCAAAAAATCAATCGCTCTCCATGCAGAAAAATCAAAGCGGCACTTCATTCATTAATTTATCAAATATGGCAAAACCAATCAAACAAGAAGAAAAAGAATAAGATGACAACGACAGCCGCGCGAGAGAAGACGTGGACGCGCGACCGCGTCATGTCCTCGACGGCAGCGACTTGCGTAGAGGCGGCAGGAAGAGCAGCAGGGTCGTCGCGGATGAGGGCGATGGCGATGGTGCCTGGTGGTAGTTGAGGTGGTGACGGAGAGCAAGCAAGTAAGCAAGCAAGCGCGACGCCACCATCTGGGCGCAAGATTCCTCGGCGGATACGGCTGATGGTGGTGGTGTTGGTGCAGCAAATGAGCAAGAAGTGATGCTGTGATTCGAATCCACCACTGCACAGTCACACCACTCCTGCCATCCTCCTCCTGGTGTCTATTCTTAGGCTTCTGCTGCGCAATCTTATCCGGTATACACTGCCGCAGTGTCAAGCTGCCGCATCACATCCTATGGGGAGGCCCCACGCGGGTTCGCTGGCTGGGAAGATGCTCGCTGGCTCCTGCGTGCCACAGCGTCTGCACAACAGATATTCCGACCCCCCCTTTCTCGTTTTTTGTTGCCGGTCTTCGGTTCGGAGAACAGTGCTCTATTGCGAATACACGAGGAGAAATGACTTGAGCGTTTCCTTCTGACTGGCGCCACAGCCTCCTGGAATTGCTCGACATAATGCCTATCCACAAGCATAGTCTTGGTCCATGCCATGGAATGAGGGAAGCTCGGCAAGTGGCTGATGGTCCGCAGGCGTTTCTGCTTGCTTCCAAGTGTTGCCGAAATCTCAGACTTGGCTGTCGCCAATGAACTTGCGTTTCCCTCTCTTAGTTATCAGCTCCACAATCAAGCAGCACAAGAGTCAACAAACGAGCCGCTTCTCAATAATAAAAAATGTAAAATTAATTATATATATATATATAATAAACTCAAAACGCAAGGAACGAAAACAAGTACCCATCGGAGGAGTTATCTCATATTCTGTTCGTCGAGAGTCAATCCTTTTTGGATTGTTGGTTGAATAGAGAGCACAGACAGCATTGTTAAACGATAGCGCTTCATTAAAAACTTGACGTTCATTGGTCTGATTTTGTCATTCGCAACATTTGGAAAAAGTTAACTAAGTCTTGCTGTTTCAGTTGCGAGAATCTAGACATCGTGTGCTCTCCAGCTGCCTCATTGTCGCTGTAGTTACCGATGGTTACTGCCCATTCTTATCGGGATTTGCGATGCTGATTACCGGGCCAGGTGGGGTGGGGAGGGAGGAGAAACGGAGCCAGACCGGGGATGCGAGAAAGTAGACCCAGAGCCCATCATCCTTCATCGCGCGCGTTTATGGTGGTTTGTCGTATGGACTTAACCTGAACCAATCGATAGGGTTGATTGGGATCGCATCAGTTTATGAAGCTGAAGAAGCTCTTTGTTCATTCCCTGAACGATCGCTGGTTTCTGAAAAACTTAAGCGGTCGGGTTTGTGGGTACTTTTTTTTTTCTTCTTTCTTTTTTGTATTGCTGACGGTTGATGAAACGTAGACATTTTGAATTAGATATTTTTTTAACCTTAGTGTTTTGAGACTTTTCATGAGAGGTGGTGTGAGTGATTTTGCGCTAGGCTTGGTAGTTGTGGGAGTGAGGTTGATCGATCGCGACGAGGAGGAGGAGCAGGAGCAGGAGGAGGCGGAGGAAGAGGTTTCGATTCGGATCGAGGCTGTATGATACCGGGGAAAAATGGTGGCGTTGTTTTGACGTTCCGGGGTGGTGGAGTAGGAGTTATTGCTGGATCGAGGAGGGAGAAGAATTGGAGAAGTCGGCGAGGAATCGAGGAGGTGAATCCGCTGGAGAAGAGTGACCATGCCTGTGTACACCAGGGGGTCGCGACGCCGTTGCTGTCTCCCCGGTGTCTGGAGGAGGCATTGGGAGCATTCGCAGCCCGACACTTTGTGAACATCCTCGGTTGTGAGTTAGATTGGATTGGAGTTTTGTTGCAGACCTCTGCGTGAGATCAACCGATCGATCGATCGATCTGTAAATCATTCGGGAGGTACTGTGCGTTCTTGTAACGGCGACGAGTTGAAAATTGTGCGTGGAATCAGTACATGGAGGTTGAGTCGGAGATTCCGGTAGATATGACGAAGAGCATGAAGGAGGGGAATACGTCCCCGACGCATCAGCGTCATCCAAAAAAAGGGGAAGTATGTGCGAAGGTTTTGGCCCAGCTCACCGAGATTGGTCATGAGTGTGTTGAGAAACCTGGATTCGCTGAGGAGCTTCAGAAACACTTCACCCGACTGCCGACGAGGTATTACTTTTAGCCACCTTGCTCAGCTTCACAGCCTTTTCATTCCTTCATCCCAGTCCGGAGGAGGAACTTGTTTGAATCCATTTACGCATGTGGATACATAGCTTTCTGTATACCAAGGAATCAGATTCCCTAATGAAAGACCTAGTTGACACTTTCGGAACAATAAATCATCTGAATTTTCTTATGCCTATTAGCGGCAGACTTTTCCTTAGGTGGAGTGCACGTGAAACTAAGTTGACGTATGGCGTCATAAGAGCAGAAAACTGAATTGGGTTCAGATGTTCTGGGGTTTTGAGATAAGGAGCAATGATTCTGTGTTGGATGGTTAAACTCTTACTCATGTTGTATGATGCGATGAATTTGAAATCAGGTTGGTTTGACATCTTCAACAGCCAGAATCCAGATGTTATATTTCCATTTATTGTGACTGTGTCGTCACAGATATTACAGCTACGACGACAGTTGAATACGGTTCCAGAGTTCAGTTCTTTGATTGCGGTGGAAGACTTGTTTCTGCAGTTTGATCATCCATTCCTTGCAATTTTTGCAGATATGCTCTCGACGTCAACACCGACAGAGCAGAGGATGTGCTTACTCACAAGCGGCTACTTGAGGAAGCTAAGATTCCTGAGAACAGACCAGCCTTCCATGTCCGTGCTGTTCAGGTACTTTTCTCAACGCTCTTGCGCCGATTTGGCCAACTTCTGCCCAGCTTTCACTATGTTTCTGATGGTTGGAGGTGCTACGGATGGACTGTAGAGTTTTACCTTTATATTTTTATATTATGAGTTATCGTTATTGTTGAAGGTAATGAAACAGTTTATTTCTCACTTGAGAAACGAGGGAATTTCAGTTCTTCATGTTGATACAATAGCTACTCACTGAAAACGGCCGTCAACATCATTCTTTAAGGTCACGATCTTGAAGATGTTTTGGTGTTATTCTGGTTTGCCAGGTCTGTAGTCAGTCAGCGGAAATTTGTTGCAATTACTTTTGACAGTTGAGTAGGAAAAGAAAAAGCATCAGAAGAGTCGTGGTGGAAGAGCGTGTTAGATGAGGTGCAACAGTTTTAAACATGGTGATTGTCACTGGCAGATTCCTCCAGCCGACTCTCAAGACGAACCCATGAATCAGGCTTTTAAGGATGAAGTTGGAGGCACTCGACCGTTAACCAAGATGAGGTACTGTGTTGCTTGCATTCCCAATTGCGGCGGTTGTGACTTAGTTTTGAGCTTGTTTACTATGCATGAAGAAACACATGAAAGAAACAGGTTGTAGAATTTTATCACTTTTTTTTTTTTTTCTTATTTCCAATTTTAAGTTTTTTAATTGGAAAAAGCCGTCAACAGATTGGCACTACCAGCTTTTGGATCGTCACCCAATCTTGAGGCGCTTGCATTGGATTTCACCAACAAATCGAGTGACATGGATGACAGTAATCATTCGCAGAGGTATCAGCAATAAATTGTATTTAATTAATTGTTCAGCTCCTTCTTATTTTCATTCGAAGCCAGTATATGTAAACACTCTTATGAAGGTGTTTTAGTTTTTGTCCATTTTTGTGTAATTGTTGATTCTGCATATCATATTCAAACGTTGTTGATGGAGCTCTCAAATTATTTTTAACCCCAGGGGGACTATTTGTGCGACCTAGTCCTTCAATGCCAGTACTACAACACTTGACCATGCTGCGTTTTAGAACGTGGAACATTCATTCTGAAGGAAGCTTTTAAATAGTGTTTGATGGATTTTGACAGTGCGAATCATCTCTATATGCCAATGCATGAAGTTACTTTTTCAACCATCGATAAACCTAAGCTTCTCAGTCAGGTGCTTGGACATCGCATTGTAATTGACTTGCGTTTGCACGACCAGATATTGCTGGAGAGGATTTCTGTGTGAGAGATACTTTCTACTAATCTATAGGATATCATATACAGTAGAAACAACGTGCTTGTCACACGACGTGCACGTAATCCACAATAAGGACATAAAGTAAGTTGCAATTGGGATGTATGGAATGCGGCGTGAGAACCGGAAGTGGTCTTTTTCCGTAGAAGATCGTTGAATCAAGTTGTGTTTGTTCGATGAGGATACAATGCAGGTCTACTCACAAGTGGGTATGTGTTTTGTGCAGATGTCAGCCTTGCTTGCCGACGTAGGTCTAAATATTCTAGAGGCTCATGTTTTTTCAACAACTGATGGTTATTCCTTGGCTGTGTTTGTGGTGGATGGCTGGCAGTCAGAGGTATACTATGCTCTCTTCTGGGTCTGTCTCTTGGTATCAGCTTGAGTGTTTGCCTCTCTTTTGTGAATTTCATTGGATATGAGGGGTTTTTTCGGTAGTTGCAGCTTGTACTTCTCGTGAACGCATAGCTGTTATCAATTGGTTTTACTATCAATACAATTGTGAATGGCTGAGGCTGCTCGAGAAATCTCTGTATCCAGTGTGTTCTCCCGCAGTGTTTTGGGAATAACTCAGACCAGCATTGGATTTGAAAAATTTGATTTGTAATATTTCATCCTTCACTAATAATCTAAACTCAAGATACGTTCATGTTATATTCGCATGCAGGAAATTCAAGAATTGACAAGAGCGTTGTCTAGGGCTCTTTCGGCCATGGAGGTACAGAGAATGCCCTTAACATTTTGAGATTTCTCGTACACGTCAGTCTTTGAGCATGATCATGAGCAGCTTTCTGATCGGAATGTATAGGTTCGCTCTGTGATTGTTACTGTTTTTCTACGTACCATAGCGCCTCCGTCAATTTGCATTAGAAGTGATCCGTGGAGGGCGACTTAAATGCCCTTTTGCATTTCTGGGACTGAATGACTCACTGTAGAAACGTGCACTTGGGGTTGTTCAGAAAGGAGCCTGGGCGAAACCCTCCTCAAAAAGTGAAATGCCTGTAGTGCATGAAACCGCTGTGCATCCTGAGAATGGACAAATTCCAGCACCAGCCTTGCCATCCACTGGCACTGATGATTGGGAGATTGATTATAATCAGCTCAAGTTCACCCAAAAGGTTGCGAACGGCTCTTTCGGAGACTTGTAAGTGTTTCTTGCCTCATGGAATACGTCAAACTGATAGTGGGCATTTATGGTGGGGGATGCAAGAAGTTGAAGATTTTTTGAGAATTATTGAGGTGTATTGATTGGACAGCGTAAAATGTATCGATAGATAATGGATGTAACTACTAGTGATGACCAAAATTTATGCCATAACCTAATATGGTCTTGAGCAATCTGTGTTGATCAGTGGGTAGTGTTACGGAGCTGGAGTCAGAGAATGTAGTTCTTTTGTTTTTTCTGTTATTACATGTCATAAACAGGGCTATGGTTTATTGTGACTTAATTTTAAATTTGATTTTGATCTAATTTAGTTTTAACACAAAGGTGCCAGTCTGGAGTTTAGAGTCTTGCATTAGTGTAGGTTCTATTTGATTTTCCTCTATCTCTCTTGCACTCGTGTACTGGATGGGGTCTCCTCATGGGAAGGGCCTGATTACTTTGTGGTGCTCAGGTTTCAAGGGACTTACTGCGGACAAGATGTGGCTATCAAAATCCTTAAACCGGAGCGCTTGAATGAGAATTTGCAACGAGAATTTTTGCAAGAAATACGTATTATGCGGTATGTTTATCTCCAGCTAATTAGACTTTAACCGTGTCATTACGTTGTAGTGATGGCCTTGCGGATCACTATTAGTAGCGGCCAGATATAATGATTTACCGTAGCATTTTTGCAATTGCGACCGGGATTGTTGACCACTCTGTTTTAAATTGTGTGTGATGGAGGCTCAAAATCCCTGCTTTTTGAAATGCACTGCAGTTGTGTATGTATAGTGATCAGAATAACAATACTTGATGTGTTCCTGTAAAAACAAAACAGGAAGGTCCGACACAAAAACGTGGTACAGTTCATTGGGGCTTGCACGAAACCGCCCAATTTATGTATTGTCACAGGTATGACTGCACTAAACGAAGTAGGAAGAGATTGCATTCTGTTTTCGGTGCACATTTAGTCCGTCCTACGGTGAAATAACTTTGAGTATTGATGTCACAATCTGATCGTTTCTGCAGAGTTCATGTCCGGTGGGAGTGTATATGACTATCTGCACAAGCAAAAAGCCGTGTTGAAAATGCCCATGTTGTTGCGAGTAGCAATTGATATCTCAAAAGGAATGGACTATCTTCACCAGAATAAAATCATACATAGGGATCTGAAAGCTGCGAACCTTCTCATGGATGAGAACGAGGTTAGTACTTGTGAATACTTTCCTGAAGATTCTTCTTTCTTTTCCATATCCCTCAGTTTGCAGTCAGTGCATGTCACGCTGTATGAAATGCACTCTGACGATTACTTTTTCGCTTTGGGTTAAAGGTGGTTAAGGTCGCTGATTTTGGTGTAGCCAGAGTTCAAGCACAATCAGGCATTATGACAGCAGAGACTGGCACATATCGATGGATGGCTCCTGAGGTATGAATATAACAGCATATATTGGAAGTTGTTGACGGTCAACCCCATGTTCGTACAGTCTTTTCAGCAAGAACTGAAACCTGAAAGTGCCTATTCATGTCGAATTTTGTGCGTATTGACCTTGCTTTTTTGACGATTGACCTGTTACTCCTTGGTATTTAGGTCATTGAACATAAACCTTATGATTATAAGGCAGACGTTTTCAGCTTTGGTATCGTACTTTGGGAACTTCTCACTGGGAAGGTGAAAAATCTAGCACTTTTTGCTTGCTTGATGTGAATTTTCCTGTATCTGTTCCACGATGAAACAATCTCTTTCTCTTTCTTAGAGGGTTTTCAAACTAAATATTTTCATCACTTCCATGATTCAACTTCTGCTTTCAATTATCCAGCGCAAAACATTCAAAAGCTGTTTTCTTCCAGGTACCGTATGCAGATCTTACTCCTCTTCAAGCTGCAGTGGGAGTGGTTCAGAAGGTTGATCGCTCTTATCCATTTCCAATTATTGATAGGGTGTTAACATCGTAGTAGATCTTATGGGCTGCGGCACTATTAACTTTCTTACATGTTTTTCTTTATCTGAAACGATAGAAGTATCTCAATCAGCAATTCATGCGCTACAATACTGACATTATAATTAATGGTGCTCACTTTTTATTTTGAAGGGCTTGCGACCAACAATCCCAAGAAACATCCATCCAAAATTAATGGAGCTCATGCACAAGTGTTGGAAGACAGATCCTGCTGCGAGACCCGACTTTACAACCATCACCGCGTTACTGAAGGTGATTTTGAAGGAGGTATGGAAAAAGTACACTATCTGTTGCTTTGAGTAGAATTTCGAAAGTTCTTATTGCGACAAAAATTCTGTATTTCAAAGAGATGAATTGTTGTGAAGTTTCATATTATTTGCAATATCTTTGATGTTATATGGTAGTTTCTAACGTCTCTTTGGGATGTTTTGATTCTGACGTACTGAGTGACAATCCTGAGAGCTGTGGTTCGGATTGGTTCTTACATACTTCAAACTTTATTATTATGGTTCCAGGTCAATGCAGAAATATTGGAAGAGGAAAGTAAGCGGACCAGGGATGTGAAGAAGCCTGGTGGGCTTTTTTCCTCGTTCAAACGCTCCGCAGTTCGATAGGGTATGTTGCCAACGTCCACTCTCCGCCTATATTTCTCAGATCTTTGTAATGACACGAGGAGTTACGAGCAAGTGGTGATTTGCGACATGCTCAACACAATTAGGCTGTACCGGCGCTAGCCCTGATCCGTGGCTTTTCTACTAAAGGACAGTTGGTATGGAGATTGAGCTGCAGTCGTGATTGAATTAGCATATTATGCAATGTATGACATGCAGTTGCACATACTTTGGCATATCAGGTCTCCGTTTAGCAGAGTTTCGAGGCTTCAACTGGATTGGGACTGGATTTGGTGTGGATTTTTGATATAAGCCAAGAATTCTGTAGTTAGTAGAATACTTGGAAACGGTTGTTTCTTTGAAAGTGGGTATTAAATGCATCAGCTTCTGTTGTGGCACCGTTTGAATCACCCTCCTCCGATGACTTCGCTGTCGCCAGTCAATCGTACGCTTGTGCTCATGAATTACATGTTCTTAGTTGGGAATCTGATGATTTTTAGCAATATCGCATTCCAATGGTGGTAAATGGTGATAAATGTAAATGAATTTGATGGTACGCAAAATGCTGATCGCCTCACTGGAATTCCTGTCGACGATCTTCAGTGGAGCCTGAACTACTAATTTCTGGAAGAGCAGCCTTCTATTGGTTTTAGAATATATTTCTATGACCTGACCTGATCGGGCGATGGTTGACGCAAGGTTGTGTTCCCGGCTCAGTTCTATTGACTGTACGATCGCTGTGTGCGCTGAAGACGCTCGTGGATTCTCACCATATTCAGGATGAAGTGGGAATTCGGAAGCAGCGTCAGCGGCGTGAGTTTTGTGGACGCGACGCTCTTAAGAGACTTGCTGCTGGTTCACAGATCCAGCAGTCTCGGCGTGAGATGCAGTGCGTGATCAGTGTCCTGGGACCAGATGGACCACACTCGTTTTCTCACAGTAGCAACATCGTCCGAGATGTCACAATGTCCACACTGATCCACGCACACCCTGCCGTCCATCTGGAGCGCGACTGAGGACCAACCCTGACGAAACCCTCATGGAAATGAAGCTGGACGCTGTCTGGTGCCACATACATGCCGAAGTCGGAATCAGAGTCGGTAGTAAAAGTGTTGAAATCCCCGCCACCTCTTTGAAGACGATACTCCAAACTTCGAAGCAGCACTTCCTGCAGAAGGCGTAACTCAAGAGGAGTCTGCTAGCATATGGAACTGGTCAGCCGGTATATGGCACGGCCAAATGATCAGTACCAGCCAGCACCAGGCAAACTGGCGATGAACTCACCCACTGGCCACCCAGAGGATGTCCACCAAACAAAAGCCCAACTGATAGAACCACGACGAGGTGTAGCAAGTTGAGAACACACTCCCAGCTTCGAGACTGTGTTTTATTGCCGGCTCACGGTATCTGCAGCAATCGGTGCTCTGAAAGTCCACTGGGTGGGCACTGAGTCCGTCTTCCAAATCGCTTCCACCACATCCTGCCCTTACATGTGTATATATATATATACATATACAAATACAAATATATAGTGTGTAGCAGAATTGAGTCAAACTCTTGTAATTCCTCTTTCAATCAACATTGTAGAGAAATTAGCAATAGGTCATCACAAACTATAAATTGTGTAAGACAATAGTTTGAGCAGGTTACATTTTGATGAGGAAAAATGTCTCTTTTACATTAATATGTACAAGAAAATTGTATTTGACAAAAACCATGTTTCTTGACTCACTTGTACATTCTCCATCACCAAACAACTTAATACTTTGTCTAGCTAAAAGAGCTTTGATTTGCTTTGGCATGCTCTTATACAACCTTCTTCTATTATACCTTTGGTATAATGGAAACCCAACATTTCTCAATATGCTCCCCTAACTCTAAAATTTTTATTGGAAGACTTTGATATTGATTGAGATAAAGTTTTATTCTTGTCCAAAGATGCTTAATTGGATTTAGATTAAGAGATTACACAGGCTACTTAAAAACATTGAATTTTTGTGATCTCAACCATTTGCAGACAATTTTTATTGTATGTTTGGGATTGTTATGATATTAAAAAAATTAAATAGAAAAGATGAAGATTATAAGCCATTACAGTGTATATTAAACCTTTCTATAAGGTTTTTTTGTATTGATACAAAATTATTCTTTCTTCAACTCAACAATTGATACAAGGACCCAAGAACATCATGCAACTCTACACCATCACCAAACCACCACAAAATTTTACTATCAGTTAAAACAATCTTGAATTGCAAAATTGTCTATGACAAATCCAACACCAATTGCAACCATCTCAACAAAATCGATTTATCTTTGTCTCATCAGAGAAGATAATGCACTCACCATCACAAACGGACTACATTTTTGTGCATTGATGTCGACATGCAAGCATCTTGTGTTCATACAAAGCAACCAACAAATACAAAATTTTATGAGCTTTTGATTTTTATACTAATAACTTCAAAGTAGATGTGGTAGCAATGGCATTGTCTTTTTGTGTTGTATTGTATAGTTTATGTAGGAAACTCCACCTAATCACTATTTTTTATTTATTTTTTATTTATTTTTATCTTTGATTTTTTTAATCACAAAATAAAAATAGAAAAAAAAAGTTTGAATCTAAGTGCATAGATTGCAAAATCATATAAACTTTCTTAAATTTTCTTTATTACTATTTTAATTTGGTTTTCTTTAAACACGTAAATGTACTTTCATAAGTAAATTGGAGGTAAGTTTCTTGCTAAATCTAAATTCAAAGCAAATTACCTTAAATAAATATTATTATCTTAAATATGAATAATATTAGATATATTGTTAGAAATAATAAGATTTGTAATAAGGCAGTGACATCATGAGAAAAATGTCAATTACAATTATTTTTAAAAAATAAAGCAATTTACTTACAATAAGATGAAAAAATATTTAAAACACTAAAAAAATAGTGTAGAATATTAGAAAGATATTTATATGGCATGTAAAGATTAGTGTCAAAAATATTTTCTAAAAATAAAAAAATAAAATGTTTTCTAGAGAATTGTAAATACTACATCTCCAATTGTTATTACTAGACCTTACATGACCTCTATATTGACTATAAAGTGCACTTCTACACTAAGCACCTCAATATTTATTTCCAATATTTACTCAAAAATAAAATATTTTTTAAAAATATACATTTTTAATAGCCAATTCAAAAAATAATTAAAAATAATTAAATATTTTTGAGTTAATATTTTTATTTTTAAAATCTAGCTTGCAATTCTTTCTCTTTTTTAAAAATATTCATTGTCTTTCTTTCAACTACCATCATTTCTTAAAGCAAAGAAAGAAAAAAATAAAGAAAAGAACAAGACATATTATTAGCTAGTTGTCAACAAGGAAGTCACATAGAATATAGCAATATTAATTGGAGGTGTAGCATTAGCCATTCTCTATTTTTATTTGGTTATTTTTTATTATCTAAAACTTGGATTTTGTTTTTTTTTTTGTTTTTTTGTTTTTGTTTTTTTTTTTAGAATATAAAGTTAGACTGTAAAATCACATTACATTGTCATACAAATAAAATCAAGATTTTATCATGTAATCAAACGACAATTAAATATTCTAGAGGTAACGCCATGTCTTGTCAAAATAAAAATATATATTTTTTTCTTGACATGTAAATTTTTAATTCTTATTTACCAAATAACACTAGTTTGCAAGTTTAGAAATTTTAGTCTATATATACATATACATATTATTTTCTTATTATTTTTATAGATAAGTTTATTTCTAAGAATTTTTATAATATAGCTCTATCCACTTCTAAATCATTATTACATCACTTAGCTTTTTAACTAAGTTTTATATGCCTAATTTATTTCTAATAACTAGGTTTAAGTGTGACATTTTAATATTATTTTAAAATAATTTTTATATAATATTTAAAAAATTAAAACTATATATATATATATATATATATATATAATTAGAATAGGTGTAGATCAAGCTTTAAATAGTTTAAATCTTAGCTTATCCTTCTAAATCTACTACATACCTATAATAAACAATGGATACAATATCGATACATGACAAAAAAAATCTTTATTATTAATTATTTGATTTTTTTTTGTATATATAAATTTTTTTTATTTCATATTTTTCAAGTTAGAATTATCATATCCGTAAAAGAAAACTAGATTGTAAAAAGAAGAAGTGAATGTATTTTTTGTATTATTATTAGTGGTTTTTTACTTTTTTTCATAATATACTACTTATTTTATATTCTTGGTTTTAATGTAGGATTAATAATTGGCTCTTTGCTATATACTAAATTTGTCAAAATTAGAAAGAATATATATTTTTAAATTATAATTTATTTTTGATTCTTTTAAAGATATGGTTGATGTTAATATCAATAAAAAAAGATATGTATATATATATATATATATATATATATATATTTATATGGATATATATATATTATAAGAAAGGTTAGTTTTTTTATTTTTTAAAATATTTATTTTAAGATTTTTTAATTATTAATTACCTCACTATTTTCTAATTAAAAAATATCAAAGTTATTATGATTTTGATTTTATAAAAAAAAAATTATTACAATATAAAACATCTTTAAAAAAGAATGATATCATTATTTAGTGGTTGTTTAAATTACTATTTAGGTGTTTGTTGATGGTGTTTGTTGTACAAGCTTTTTTATTCTTTTATTAAACATAGTAACTTTTTTTATAAGTAATTTATTCTTGCACGGCTTTCAACTTAGTGATTTTTTACAAACTTAGTATAAAATAAAGATACGTTTAAAACCATTTAAAGAAAATTTACATTTATTTTTTCTATAATAGAATAATATTTTAACAAAAAAAATAAATTATACAAGAATAGTGAATTAAAAGTATTGTACAATATATTTTTAAAAAATAGACAATCAACAAGTAATCAAATAAATTAGATATTTTTGTGTTAATGTAAAACAATGAATCTATCTACATAAACTAATACAACTATTTCAGTAAATTATTAGTGCCAAAAAAGCCTAGATTAAATTCACTTTAAAATTTGATTGTATTTTATTATATTTTATAATTCTCTATTTATAGCATGTGGATCTCATTTTTTTATTCAATTAAAATCAACACAAAAAAAATAATCCATGTATCAGTTATTCACAACTAGACCTTTCATATGTACAGTTGTAATATACATATGTTTTAAGTTCTTTGTATGTTAATAGTTAATAAGTAATACCACTAAATGTTTTTAACTATATTTTAAATAGCATTCTTTAATTTCTTTTTACCTAATACTATGCAGAGGAATCAAAAGGTCATTTAGTAGATTCTAGTCATTAGAGGTTTAAAAAGAAGAGTTATTTTGCTAAATTTGATGTTCAACAATTAACTTTTTAATTCCATATTATTGAAGTGATTTATCATTATAAATATCTCACTATACGAAATGGTAATATTATACATAGATCAATTAATGTTAATCCATAAAATGAACATAAATTGCTTTTTGTTTACTCAGAACCTGTTGCTATCATTCTTGCTTTTCCACATAATCTTTTTACAAACTCGTTTCTCAATTACTTTATTCATGTGCTGGAAAGTCGCATATATTTTGGAAACATTTGTGTGGTTTTCACTGTATGTTTGCAAACTGTTCCACTTACCAACTGTTATAGTATGTAATTCTTTACACCCTAAAATGAATTATTGGTGCACTTAAAAATCAACACTGCTTTAAATTCAAAAAATGCATCAATGTTTCACTGCAGTACAATCATGTGTAACAGCGTTGCATTGAACATGCTGGATGTAATAATGCATGAAGTTAACAATGTTCCAATGTCTGCATGTCAATTTTAAGTGAATGAGCAGCACTTTCTACAGGGACCCACAAACTTGCAAATGGGGTGGTGCATCACGGCATGCACAGTAAGCTAAAGACCAGCATTCAGGATGACAATGAGATCCGTCACCCCTGGCTAAGATCGATATGTGACACGGCTCTTATTCTATTCCAATCGACCATCACAAAGGATGCGGATAAACTGGTCTGTCGTGTTGTCATGTTATCACTCCATCTACTGTGCTAATAGGTCAAAAGGAACAGAATTACGAGCAAAAGTTCTGGAAAAAACACGTCTATACAGAACTTCTAGGAAAATATCCAAGCAAAATTTTAGCGTGATCTCAGATTAGCCAACACCGAATGCACCTAACAGCATTAAAAACTGCTGATTGAAACAAGCGTATGTCCGGACTACATCACTGATGAACTGACTTGGTTCCCAATGGCTTTACCTCCAGTCATGGAATGAGCGTTGATCAAGGGACTCGATTGCAAAATTGCTAGCTGGTTGCTGTCCAATCGGGCTTTAAAAATGTTCGGCCCAATGAATGAAATCAGCTTGGATACGCAATAGCCGGATGCGTTCTCTGAGAGTCTCTGCGCAAATGACATATTCATAAAGTAAATCAAAAAGTTTACAGTCTAACTCGATCAGAAAGAGAGAAGGATGGAGGCACAATGCATACCTGGCCGCAGGTCAAAGCGGAAAAAAGGGGGTCAATAAACAATTCCAAGTACGGCTTGAAAGTCTTCTTCCCCAGTTTCTGCACGTTTCCCCAATTTTGATGGTCAATACACATCAAACTATGAGAAGTAAATACCATTTTGACATTTTGACATTCTGGCGTTTATATCACATATAGCCAACTTCACAATGAACTGAGAGCAAAATTGAAGTCATGATTTCAGTACATCCGTACCTCAGCAATGAAGGGCAAGAGTCTGTAAAGGGTTTCCATCAGGCTGTGATATTCCACATATCCAGAACTCTGAGCCTGGAAATGACATCAGGATTAGTGGCGAGCTCATGAAGGCCACAAAACTTCATCTGCTCTTCCTTAGTACTCTTTCAATTACATCGCTCGTTCATATCAGTGCAAACGTATCACTAAGTTATAGTAACGTACCAGCTGTACTAGGGCTGGTAAGAACTTGGCCGCACGATCCGGAGCTACAACAGAAAGCTCTCGTAGTAAATAAATGCCACCTTCCGATTTTTCCCAAGGTTCGCTCTTTCTAGAAAATCCGTAATCATCACAACGCTCTGCCAGCTTCGGCAGAAGATTCGAAGATAATGCGCCCTGAAATGTAAAGAGAAATCCATTAAGAGAGGTACTTGCAGATTATAAGAGCTCTGAACAAAGATTTCAAAACTACATAATCATCGACATGATTCACTTTGAAAAACATCTCTTTTGGGGCACTACGAAGGGAGGAGGAAGTATTGACATCAGTATCCACGCAGGAAGTACTAAGGGAGAGCGATTTCAACATATCAAAGAAGCTTACATCCATGTTTTCTTCTGCTGAAGGCGGACGCCCATGGTGTCTGCAATTCCAACAAAGGCCAACCCAGTTCCATACTTGAGAAAACATAATAAGCCTAGCAAACCACTATTCAAGAGCAAATGAGTGCAGGCATTCTTTAAAACTTGAGCATTTACACACATGTACCAGTTCAGCATAAACGTAACACAAGCACATGCTATACGTTTCAAATCTAGAACTGACTTGTAGTTTAAAACTTACGGTCCTGCTCCAGGTGAGGCACATTGAGTAGCGTGAAGAGAACCATGGCAGCAGCACGGTTTATCTACTTGATTCTTTGCCTGAGGCAAAACCTCTTGTAGTACTGCAACTGCCTGCACAGGTCAATATTAAAACAAAGAGAAACTGTAGGTCCTTCAAAAATTATCAATACTATTTCTTTTGGCATCTTGCTTTCCTACAGAAAATGTGTTGTGCTTCGTTGTTTAAACCAGAATTCCTCCAAGCCTCGACTATAGCGGTTTACTTATAGCGGTATTTACTGCTGTTTCCAGAGAATCAGGAGTTGTGCAAAACAGGAGCGAAACAATCGACTTACCATCTCTATTGCCTCTCCTTGAAAACAGCGCATTGCACTTCCTAGAGTAAATGCTGAATTCTCACGGACACTTCTTACATCTGGTAATTAAGTCTGTTAAGGAAATACCAATCTAAAAAACAGCTATAAGTTACATGCTTATGAGACTATCTCCTTGCTACCACATGCACATTCACATCAGGTTTCAACGTTCCCTTCCAGATGCGAGTAAAAAGCTATAAAAAATTAAAATTAAAAATATCAAAATATCAAAATACTTTCAAACTAAAGTGCCTCAGCTACGCACAATTCTGATTGGATACTGTCTGCCAAATGAGCGAACCACATGTCGAAGAGTTGTGGCATTAATTTCTTCATTTCTTCAGGGTAGCCTTCAATAGCCTTTCTCATTGCTTCACATGTCAAATGAACACTCTCAATTAACTTCAGAAACAGAGAAGATGCAGAAGGAATATTTGCTTGAAGTAGCTCATCCATCAACTCCTCCATGCTTAACATCCGAAGGTAGCCCCAAAGTATCTAGATTTTATCTAGATCTAAACAAGAGTGAGATCTCAAACTGATTATGGTCAAGCACTTCGGATGAAACAATCATTTAAATCACTATAGAGCATTAGCCAGCCACCATAATTCCCTAGTTTCAACATGCGAAAGAAACTAAATTCTGCACAGGGAACTAAAAGTAGCATCTATTTGAAATATTTTACATGCTACACATCAATCTGGATATTCACTAAGAACAAAATCCATAAAATTTAGGTCATATAGTATAATCACAAACTTCAAGGACAAGTATTCACCTGAACACGCAGCGTCCCGCACTGCCCAACTAGGATCCTTGAAACAGCTCATCAATGTAGTGAGCACACGTGGTACTAACGATCCAATCCTCTAAAATCACATTGAGTTTGAATATTAAAATTTCTAACAGCCAGAGTTGAATAAGAATATTGAAGGTGCTTCTCAAATAATAACCAATAACTTGCAATTCAGGTTAAATGAAAGACAACCGTGCACAGGAAGCACATTAACAAGTTCATCCACTCTTAAACCGCAGATACCCCAAAACTATCGTTTAACAGTTATTATTGCTTAAGAGCAAATAGACTACCAGATTGTCACAAACATATGCAATATCAATAGGACGTGTGGAAGAGTTTCACCTCAGGATCGATTTTCCACAATAATTCTGCCATGCAGTGGCATGCTGCCTAAATCAAAACACCACGAGAAACATAAATAGTTGTAGATGTACTAAATCTCGTAGAAAACAACTTTTTTCTAAAAGAAGCCACCACTCTGGAACGTCCTACAGCGTACTGCAGAGCTGCATCCAAAACCTGACAAAGTACCTCTTTCACTAGGTGATTTTGCGCAGTTGATTGTACAATATAGTAGTCCAAGACAACATCAACATACTTGGCTACTTCCTCCCGTCCTGTTGAACCCATCACCAACTGCCAAGTTTCTTGAGAATAGAGCCTCAAACCCTCAGCTCCGTGATATCTGTTCAAGCACCTGCAAAAACAAACTCAACGCGATACTAAATCTGCTGATAAAGGATTTCAGTGGACTACACGCCTAAAACAATCTGCATTACTGAAAGAATCTCAAACTTTGGATCTTCTAAATTCCTCCAACTGAATTCACAACGCTAAAAAAGGAAGGACTAATTTATCCACCCTTTCCTTCCGTCAATGATACTCCGTTGTTCTAGTGAATGATTGATGACCCTCGCTCCATCAGTGATAAGAATAAGGATGGAATACAAAATCAACGTACATGGCTGGCAATAATTTGGAAAAGAAATCAGACTTGAACTCCGATGTCCTTCGCATAAACGTCCTTGTCGCAATAGATGCCGCTGCACACAAAACAGAAAGTCCATTTAAGTACTTGGTCACGACAACTATCCACTTGATGTTTCAACTTTCGAAGGAGCAGTCCAAGTCATATTGTCAAATTTCAAGCTTCCAACCTGAGCTCTTGACAAACATAGAATAAATGATAAGATTTTTCTGCTTCAAATTTTCTCACATAATGTTCTGTTCTCCGAGGTTAAATTATAGTTTCAGTCCTTCAAAAATCCAGCAACTATAAAGAAATAGTAATAACAATAATAATAATAATAATAATTTAAATAAATAGCACTCTCTCTCTCTCTCTCTCTCTCTCTCTCTCTCTCTCTCTCTCTCTCTCTCTCTCTCTCTCACACACACACACGCTAAATTCAGCAGGTACAACTTAATGAGCGAGGGAGAACATGCAAAAGAGCGCATATACTTTTTATTCATCATTGTGAAAAGCGAGTATGGAATAGTATGCTTCACCGTATCGAACTTGGCTCCAGTTATCACTTAATCCAAGCGCCAAATACGAGGCTATTAATCCACCATTGCTGCACTTCACAATCAATGCTATTGATCAGAGATGTTACAACAAACTTGCTTCTTCATCAAACGATAACATGGCCCATGCGGTATTTAGTAATTGCTTCATATCATACACATCAGAAAATGTTAAGCATGTCTTACAGCAACGTGGAATAATACAAATTAACAGTAGAATCTCCACACAGCCCAAAATACAGGATTAAACTGATGGATACGACTTTTGAGGGCCGTGAGAACAAATCTTGGCTACATCACAAGAGGCAGCATGTTCACCGATAACCTACTCTTTCAAAACGTCCATTGGAGAGAATTGACACAGCGTGCTGACACATAGGAAGCCTGTTTCCCGAACAAATCGATTGTGGTGAGACAAAGCTTTCAACAGCAGTTGCCAAAGTTGGGAAGTCACATGGTCCTGAAAGCTCTCGCCGCATCCCTCCATTAGTCTTTGGAGGGCTTTTACAGAGGTTTCCAAACATCTGCTACCCATTGCACCATTCTGCAATTTTCGCACTCAAAAAATGCCATTAATGTACACAGATATTGGATTACGTCAATTATGCTACAATTTCCTCTGTTCAAAAACTACAAACGAAGCTATAGCAGAAATGTGGATGAACATGAATTGGGATAATGTTCTAAGGACGTCAATGGCCTAAGCCAGGACGTGGTGAAAAGAGGTGTACAAACATAACATAGATTCAATCTCTACCATCTGTCTTAGTTGAGTTTCATGAAGAGCTACCTGACCAGAATGGACTTGTTTCACAGATGGCATCTTTTTCACAGGGCTTTCTTCAAAAGCATCCTGGTCGCTTTCATCCCCACTAATTAAATCACCATCGAATCCATTTTGAATACTCAGTAGTAGACGGCTGCCAGCACCAACAAAAACCTAAGTTCCTTGCATCAGTTATCTCACCAACGGTGAAATTTTGACTCACCCATTGAAACCAAACTTCGAGGAAATGTAAGAATAATTGAAGGATAAATCTACTCCAGAATTCACGTTTAAAAAGACATAACCCTTTCTACGCATTGCCTCTTATTTTCAAAGTCGAATGTCACAACATGAATCCATTTATTTTCATTAGAGAACCTTAACGGACAGCAAGATGGTAGGCTAAATAGATTAACCTTGTTTGAGGAATTAGAACACATACTCTTTGATACTGTCATAAACGGAGATTCCCTGCACTTTCCCCAGGGCATACAAGCACTCACCAACCGCCAATCTGTTTTTAAAAAACCAAATTTGGATTAAAGGAAAGACACTCAAATTTTAATTGCAACTCACAAGCATTGTTGTTCCTTGGGAAATCTTTTGGATAAAACATGAACATCTGCCTACTGCTAATAGCAAACCGCATAGCTGGAAATCGCGTTGGAATTCAACTAACCGAACTCCAGGTTCAGTATCCTCGAGATGAAGGGTAGCTAACGGCAAGAGTTCATCGTCAAACGCCATTTGCTGACCACCCAACACAAGAATCTGCACGATCCAAGCAGAAAACATATAAGTAAGGTACCAATCAAGAAAACACAGAATCGAAATATTGCCTTACATTCTATACGATATTATACTTCCCGCATACACAGATTACATAGGTTACACAGACCAGACCTTGTAAAAATGTTCGCAAAAGAAATGTCTCAAATTGAGCATCATATCACGAGACGACACAAGTGTCTTTTGCTGATTCTAGCGACTTCGCGGAACGTTAACTCGTTTATAAGTAAGACACCTGACGCACAGAATATAGTACCACATGCTGCTGTCCTTACATGGAAAAATAAATGACAAACTTCCCAGCGAGCTAATTCAAAGAATATCTCACGTTACAGGCTAAAAAGCACCTGTTTGACATGAATATACAGACTCACTTAAAAGGTTATAAGATAACACCTTCGCAGCACAGAAGCCACCATGGCGGCTCTCCCATTGCTGAGCGCTCATTAGTAGTTTCACTCGTTGAGTCGCTATCGCCCATAACTCTTGCCTTCGCAAAGGATCTGTAACACAGGAGCACACTTAAATCTTCAGCTTTGGAAGACTACATGTTCTCCTTTATCTTGTATGTTCTAGCACAACGGATTAAAGTTATTCACGATACAACTTTCACCTTTCAGTTGCTAGATGGATCTTAGGTGAATAATAAGCAATAAGTCGGGAGTTTCGAAAATCTCATACTACTCAAATTGGTCACAATCCAAACTCTTAGAATGATCCAAAGGGCATTAAACAATATAAAACGAAAACAAAGTATCAAATTACCTGCATTACTTAGTACGGATTGCAACAGAGTTACGCCATGCTCTCGCTTGATCTGCATCCGATCCGTAAGCTTTCCCATCGGCTCATCTAACTCCATGGCTTCACCTTCCTTCACAAAACACCAAGATTTCCTCCATTGAACTCTACTCAAACTCGCAGCGTAATAATTACAATATCAAGAAAATTATAGACTAGGGCAAACTTATAGACTGCAAATCCAAGACATTCGATCGACAAGAACAAAGACAGCCACTCCCGACAGTTACTATTGCCCACGCTCTGTCTTTTGCCAACACAGACAATAAAATCTACGCTGTACAAGACAATGAAACGCGCGTACTTGTGTAAACGACAGCACTTGATCAGTTTATTCCTCTTTTTGGTAGTCAACTGAAAATGGTCCTTAAAATCCAGTTGAAAGAAAGTATTCTATAAACGCAAGCCAATAATTTAAACGGAATCCAACGTAATATATGAAAATAAAGCCATATCCCTTCAAAAATTATGAAAAAATCTAGATGTATTAGCCAAGCGTCAAGGTTGTCAAATAAGACAGTAATCACAAAAATCAAAAACCAAGTACCTCACCATCAAACCCCGGAAAAAACCCTACTCAAAAGTGGCTATTTCCATCACAGGCTTGCAAATTTCAACTCCCAACACCTAGCGTCATTACATAAATTGATATAGTGAACGTGATCCTACTTTAAAATCACTGGCGACCTACCCACCTGGACGTTGAAAAAACACGTGATGCCCAAACCTCTGCGAATTGCCTAGTTCATCCTCCTCTAAAACAGACGACCAGCACAACATGAAGTTCGACACGGCGGACACGACTCTCTATCGTTGTGATGAAGAGCCGCGTCACTAAAATCTACCCCCTTAAATAAACCTCCTCGACTTCGTAATCGGGCCACTGATCGAGTTTAATCCAATTTCCCGTAACCAATAAGCATCCGACAATTGTCTCACTCCCATGTATAACCGAACAAAAAAGTCCACACCATGACACAATGCAGACTATGACGTCGCCTTGAGCTCGATCTACTCACCATGTCGAACACTAAAGCCAAAGCCTCAAGGTGCGACATAAGCAACCAGCGCACGACGTTGAAACAAACGGGCCATTTACCATCAACTTCTACCTACCATAACATCACAACCCTAGAGAGCCATGTCCACGCTCCCCTTGTGATTTGAGATTTACAGACAAGCAACATTGTTTTCCCAACAGACACAACCTGGGCATACCGCAACTTTGGATGCAAGTCATCAGACACTGGCATGAGAAAGATGAAGCACCTGAAGCTGATGATGCTGATGGTGCAATGATACCTTAAGTTTCTCTCCTCCCGCCTCGGCCTTTTGTGTTCGCTCAGTTGGTGGGGTCCTTGGGTTTTGGGTGCTGTGTGCTTCGATGAATGTGGAAAGGAAGGATCCGAGGATGAATGTCTTTGTTCGGAGCTGGGGTTTACTCGTGAGTTCGTGGTTAAAACGCCGACCTGGTCTGCATCGTGTTTGCTCCGAGTCAGTTAGGGTGCTCCCGCGTCGATGTTGTGTGAAGGAGCTCTTGACAGTTTTCTTGTATGTGCATTCAAGAGGAAAAGCAGGAGAGATATTGTAGAGAAACAGTCTGCAGATGCTCGTGTGGTTTCCTACGCTTCGTACGTAACGCGTGTTTGGCAGTTGAAGAAATTCCCTCTTGAAAGTATAGTATTCGTTTTGAAGAATGATTTGTTGAAGAGTGACGTTAGCGTGTCCCCCTAGTTTCCATCGCCACTACCGACTTCAGGGTGTGCCACTACAAACTTCGAATAGAAATTTGCGGCACCTGTCGTGAAGTGCCCATGGAATAATAAAGCTTCAGTATGGTGCGTCTCTTCCATTATGTAATCAGCATTATTTTAAGAATCTACCATGTGGAGAAGCGCGACGCGACGTCTCAAGAACACGCTCCGGTGGCGAGGTTTGAAGCCGGTTGGGTGAGGCCATGTCTTCACCCTACTTAGCAATGGAATTGGAAACCAATTTGCTGACGTTGGATGAACCGCAGGTTGCATGCTATATTTAACCTCGCCTAGATGCGATCTTGATCATATCCACAAGATGATGCAATTCAAGACGATGAAACGTATCACATGTGAGGTCGGCAACTAGAATTGTTGCAAATTGCATGATGAACAACAGGAATGCGGTTGTTTCATCCTGCAACCTTGGCATGCAAAACAGTAAGCAACAAGAATGTGTATCAAGTGTTGCAGACAAAAACTTGGACAGTTATTGGCTGCCATTGATGTGCTTGCATTGCAACAAAGATCTAAGTGTGGGTAGTTTGATCTTGTATTTTGTAACAGCTTAGTAACGGTGTTTGGAACGAACTGTTTCTTAAGGGATAGTCACAACAGTTACTGTACAAACGGTTCTCGACAACATTGTCCCAAACCATGTGATCAGAGGCATCACTCATGGCCTCCAGACTACGAAGGATTTGAGTAATTGTCGCACGATGATTTGATGCTCTGAATTTTTGAAGGACTCGCACCTAGCGTTTTAAGGAAACGATTGACCTCCGAGTAAGAATCAAATTGTCAGGGGCGTATGCAGCGGAGATTCTGGGTAAGGACACAGGTTTGACTGTAGCTTCTCAACCCGGCAGCTTCATAATACAGAATGATCTCACATAATGCAGGCTACGAACTATTCAGAAAGAAGATGGAGTGCTTCGTCTAATAAAAGGAACTACTGCAAAACAGAGCAGACAGAGCTGCCCAATCTGCTCGTGCAAGGAAAAGGTCTAGACTTGGATCTGCAATTCTCAGCAGCCAGGAATATTGGATGGAAAGAAACCATTCTAAGCAACACTGGAGAGCTAGTTGAGCACAAGGTTCAATGAAGCATTGCTTTGAAAAATTGCAAAAACAGCCGGATTCTTTTACAGTACATGAGCTCCAACACCCCTGACCATCCAAATCACTGTCAAGCTGCAGGATGAGCTCCACAAAGTCTTGCTTTCGCAACCCAAGTCTTATGCTAGTATCCTTTTATCATCTACAAACGTCCCCTAAGACAGATTACAGCACAATCTTCGCTACTGGAGCCAATCTGCCAACAAGGTGGACTAAAATGACACACCTCCATACGTGCAGAGGCCTGAAATACAAGCCTAAAAGCTTATGAAAAGACTAGTAGACGTCACTGAAAATTTGAAGTTGAATTGAAAGCTCTTTGAGTTAACTTCAGGATCTCTACTTGGGGTTGTTGCACTGCGAGGAGAGAATCACGGGAAGAGGTTTGACCAATAAGGGGGTTATACATCTGCCGTTAAGAAACTAATCATGATCTATTCGGGTAAGTCCATCTCAGCAAGCTTCTCTTGAGCCATCGCCTGCTGAGCCAATTCTTCTTGTATGTCCTCCTCGGACTCTTCCTTCACAGTTGAGTTAGAAACAGTCTCCTTCGAGCGTTTCGTGGAGTTTTGCTGTAACTGCTGCAACCCTAGCGGGTCAGTAGTGTCCCTACGACTTTTTTGCGTCTTGAAAGAACCCAGGGCCGTGTGAGTATAGCCGTACTTCTCAAGCACCTGGTTATCTGCAAAATTAAAGGCTCGCTCCATCTGTTTGAAACATTCGTCATTCTCTGTAGATGCCCCTAGCTTGCACGGCTTGCACCCTACAAAGTGGGTTACAAACGGCCACCTCTCATCTCCGTACCCAGGGTGATTCTTCGCCATAATTTCCTCGTAGTTATACACTACATATTTCCAATATCCATGCAGTAAAAATTCCCATTCAATATACGTATTCGCCTTCCATTTAGGATCGCCAAACAAGATAAGGTAAACAAGAGCGGATTGGTCATCAGCTTCAAAAACAGGTCGATCAACTAGCTTCGCAGTTAACAATTTGCCTACAGACACAAGCATCCGTCAGAATAAAAATAGTTAGCCATGTTGTACACTCCATTAGGTCAATGGCGACGAATTGAATGGATGTTCAAACATTTGAAATCTATGTAAAGAAACTCGAAGAGAATCCATGGACCATGGATTGGCTTAGCAGAGCGTCTGATTTCAATCACCAACATCCTGCTGAAAGTTACACTACATCCTTCACCACCTTATTTGCAGTACACACTTCTACACTGCTTCTAGCAAGTAGGGACGAAGTAGAAACATCAACTAGATTAACTCTCCGCGGTCGAAGATTTGAGGAAAATATTGACAGGCGACGGTTTCTAAACAGCTAGAAACGACACATGAAACTATTTTCAACAATGAATGCAATACTGCTCGCAACTACGAGGAAGTTAGAAAACAACCAAGTTAACTTCGATAACTTAAAACAATTACCAAATTGACACTAGAACATTCAAATTTACTAAATGAAAAATAGTAATAATAACAAAACAAAACAAAAACAAGTGTCCCAGGGTATGGCATAAATGAAAATCAAAACAGAGATAAGCACGGAGGATTTTCACCTAGAAAAACAGCCATTAACTGCAGACCCCAACTAGAAAACCAAGCTGGAGCTACAAAGAAAATGCAGGCATATGAACAACCAAAACGAAAGAAGATTAGAAGAAAAACGTACCTGCTTCAATTCTAGTGGTACCCTCCGGGCCAAAGGGAGCCAACGCATCGAGCAAATCCAATGACCACTGACAGTTCCGGATGAGAAAACTGCCCGTATTCAAACCTATCCACCGCTGTTGCTCGAACAGCAGATTGTGGAACCCGTGCACGATCAAGTTGTTTTTACCGTACTTCTCCATGGGCATCTCGAAGGTCATGTCCGTGAAGATGGCATCGCTGTCCATCCACCATATCCACTCCACATCAGGATGGTTCAACATCATCTTCCTCAGCAGCGGAAGCTTGGCCCAAAACGAGCTCATTTCCTTCTCGAAAGTGGCCATGTTGTAGAAAAACTCGAGATCGTGCAGACGGGCATAATCAATCCTGTTCTTCAAAAACTTCAGGTGGTAGAAATCGCCCATTGGGTTGGCGCAAGGGCTAGGCTGCGAGCCCGAGACGAGCAGCGTCCTGGGCTTTCCACCCACAGTCCGGTTCCTGCCAGGATTCCGCGTGTTCCAGAGCTCCCGCTGCAAATCCCAATCGGTGATTTTCGGGCCCAGAGTGTAAGGCGAAACTCCGTCCCATTGATCTTCTTCCACAAACTTGCTGGCAGTCACCTCATCAGGAATCGCTTCCTCAACTTGGGCTAGCACCCGGGCCCTCTGCGACATGATGATCTGCTCCCTCAAATCGGCGACCTGCGGACTGCTGCCCCAGGTGAGTCCACCAGGACCCAAGGTTCCACGAAGCACGAGAAGCGTAATAAACCCACACAGGATAGTGATCTTGAACGTGTTCATCGTCTTCACCACTTTGCGACCCTTGGGAGTGGCCAGGAAGCGGGCGGGGTGATACGTATGCAGCGCGGCCTTCATTTGATCTTGCGACATTTTCCGTAACAACGTACCCTCTTTCATCTGACGATACATCGTGTCTTTCGATGCTCAACGCATTAAGTAGGGCGTCAATCAATGAAAACCGCTCATACACAGAGCATCGTCTAAAGACCTTAAACCCTGCTCTAAAACATCTTCCACTACTCCGGCACTTCAGCAGAAACAAAATCAACGAAGTGCAATAATGTTGGATAGGAGTGCAACACGAAAACTACTCTCATGACAACCTTCCTAGCGTACCAAAATACCAGCTAGTTCGTGAGAACCAGTCCGTCAAGACACATCAGCAAGTAGACATTGACAATACAACACACAATGTACGACGTCTATGTCCTCACATCTAAGCTTCATCAACGGTAACCTATTAGATATCTCTCAAGTAACGGCCAAACACTCTCAAACATCAACGGAATCCCAGCAAACCAGCGAAGATCCGCACAGTCGAATCAAAAAAAAAAAAAAAAAAAAAAAAAAAGAACGAAAAGCTCGTGCACAGACACCAAGTTTCCCCCAGCCAAACTGCTCTCTCACAGGATCTCTCCACCTCCAAACACCTCAAGCTAGCGAAAGAATGAACTCCTAACAATGCATGAGCATAAGCACAGGAGGAGAGCCACCACCAGCATGCATCACGACGACCCCTGCGGCTCAAAAGACGACCAGCTCCGCTCACCGGGCCAGGTGGAGCAGCAGTCCACTGCAAACGAACTGTCGACGACCTGTCGACGCCACTAACAGTTCACAGCCACAGCCCATGCTTCCCATACGAGGGCTCTGGTACCCGAAGCGCGCATCTGACTCATCTCCACCACTCTCGATCAAATGCTACCGGAAAAAAAGGTCATCGAACAAAACAAAAATAAAAATAAAAATAAATCGCCTCGAAAATATACACAGAAAGCGTTGCTAAAGCCTGACTACCTGACTGCTCGCACGCCGCTGCTTATCGTTCCGGAGAGCCGCCCCCTGTTTTCCGTCGCAACCACCCCCGTCCCTCAAATCCAGCCCCGTAGCTCAAAACTAACTCGTCTGTGAACGCCAGATCCCGGTTCCAATTTCGCCGAATTCTAGCTTCGCAATTCAAGCTCCACGAATTCTAGCGGTTATTGGACACTACTAGTCTTGTCTCTCTCTTGCGATGCCTTCCGCACCATCGTAACTCTCTCTGGTCGATCTAGCTCTCGACGGCACCGTAATCCCCCTGGCCCCAATTTGGATGGATGAATGAATTTTCATCATCCTTTTTGATGAAAGAAGCGGGTGACGAAGGGCGGCATGTAAATAATGCAGCAGCATAAATGGCACTGGAGAAAGACAGCGACCTTCATCAGGGGAAATGATATTTGAATTAGCGGGGGAGGGCATGAATGAGGGCGGGGGTTGGTGACAGCGAGTCTCCCTCTCTGGATTTGGATGAATGTATCGGTCGGATGAATGACGCTGGGTTGGTTATCACTGGGTCGTGTGTGAACGAGGTCGTGGATAAATGAGTTTACGCTTTTGCGCGGGTCCATGCTGGCACCCGGCCCGTGATACGTCATTTCAGCCCTCGGGATGCTGATGCTTCGCCACGTGGATGAGCAGTACTGGTCCATATATCGGCTTTGACCATCACGAAGGAGATGCCTTTTTGAACACACACTTAGATAAAATCCGTCCACTTTTCGAAAAAGCTAAGTTTATTTTTTATCTTTGAGCTTTTGCTTTGATTGGATGATGTTTAGTATCCTTTTAGCTTTTTTTAACTTGTTGTGTACTAAATGTTTTTTTTATTTTTACTTTGCTGTGTTGTTGAAAGAGTTCTGTTGAACAGTGGCCTCCAGCGAATCACACATTTATTATGATTTTTTTACAATTATTGATATGCATGGATGCTTGTGTTTATAGTGTATGTTTACAAACACACACACACATATTTTGGCACTATCAATCACAAGTGAATCTTATCATAATCTATATATAACACGCCCATGTCAATAATTTGTAGACATTCACTTAATCAGATACACAAGAATATATCTGGCTGTCAAACAACAATATATTGTCGAGAATAAACCAACAAGTGGCAATTTTGAATAACATTGCTTATTATGAAGTGACGAATATGAAGTTTTCAATTATTTTTATAATTATAAACATCTACCTCACATAATTTTTTTCTTTTTCTTTTTTTCTTTGTCTTTCCCATGTTTATTATTGTGATGTGTGCTGAGAGTAACACTTTTTTTAGAAAAGGTTCATTCTGACAACAATGAGGTTGCAGCTTCACATGTTAATTCCCGGTATCTGCAAATTTAATATTTGATATATCATGTTGTGTAAATATATACATATGCAAAAGAAAGCGAGGTTTTGGTGACACTTTTATATTTATTTATTTATTTATTTATTTATTGTTGGCATATAATTTAGGTGTTGATATCTCGTGGTGTTGCTTGAGTGACTTGGTTGAGGTCACATAATTAATTGATTGTGAGGTGGACAAGTTTGAATTTACAAATATATTTTGTGAATTATTATATTATTTCTTTATTTGTACATTTCTTTGAGTGTGTGTATATATATATATATATATATATATGTATATAGTTGAGTGAAGTTGAATCAATTAATCCATGAATGATAGATACCCTATGATATTGCCATTGTGGATTTTTGTGTGCTTGATGAAAGAGTTGGTCATATGTATTTAAATATGAATTTAAGGAATGTTTATTAGAATTTTCACGTGTTAAATATCATAACTTGAACATGCATGCATTAACAAATTTCATTAGAATAAAATTAAAATCTGAATGATGGTAATCAATTGCTTTATTGTTGAAGATTTAGAATTTGATACTACATATGCATACATTTTGAAAACATTATATGATTAAGCAAACAAAATATTGGAGATGTGCTTGTTGCAGAGTATTATGTCATTACACAATTCAAATATGTTTAGAATAAATTATTGTATAGGCCTGTGTGAAAGGTATTTGTTGAATCTCAAAAGCAAATTGATGACTATATATACATATTCACACAAAAAAAATTGTTTGCAATGTCTCTTCTCTTGAATATTTCCACTTTTGATGGCAAATTATGGGTTCAAATTATATAATCATGCCATAACTCATTGAATAGATAAATGTAAATATAAAAAAATAAATGACTGTATATTTAACACTGATACTTAAAAGTTATTATTAATCTACCTCAAGCATTTGGTTCTGGATTGTAAATAACATTCTGCAAAGAAGTGATAAATATATTCCAAATTAATAAATAAAAATTAAAGTATGTAATATTCATGTATATATACATATACATATATATATATATATACACACACACTTTCTGATGTGGACAGGACTGATATTAACTAAAACATAAACCATAGATTTTGGTAATGTACAGGAGTTTTTTTTTCAAATCTCTACACTGCAATTTTTTCATACTGTATTACTTGTTTGTACACAATATTTTACATTACTCATTGAGATGGGAAAAATTATTATATATTGTTAAAGCAACTGAGTATTGTTTCAGTATGATTAAGTCATCTTTAGATTTGTGTTGACCATGATAATATTATAAAATTCATTTCAAATCCTGAACACATTTAGCACCTTGATGAAGAGTCTATACATAAATATTTATAAATAAATGTTTTTTTAGCAAATGATTTTAAAAAATAATATTAAAACACAGGTTTTATCTTAAAACTATTTCGTCTAGCAAAAACAATATTTTATGCAAATAAAATTATTCAAATAACATGGATTAGAAAAAATAAACACAAATTAAGTAATTATATAGATGTTTAGTTATATGTTCACTAGGGAAGAATATTGTAATACATATTTCAACAATAAAATCATGCTGTTCTATATAATTATAAATTATTTGAAAAACTAAAATATATCAGACAAGATCAATTCATAATCAAAACATATAAAAGTTTGTTTATATATATGTATGTATTGTTTGTATACATACATACACATAAAAGATTAGCAATGCACCTCTTAGTATAACCTTCATTAACTGTATGTATGAAATTTACATTTAAAGGAAGTCTTCTTTCTTTTTTCATCCTAATGAAAAAAATGTCCATTTATGTTAATTTTCAAAAACAACTTAGCAAATGCAAGTATTGAGTATATATTCTCAAATTACCCAATTTATTTACATATACTAAAGAGCCTAAAATCATGTTTTCGTGCAATACATTAACTTGGTTATTCTGTCGGTCTTGCAAAATCTCTTTAAATGAACATCTAGTGGTACACATTTTTTTAAAAAACTTCATAGAGTTTTACATTTACCAAAAATAAAATCCTAACATCAATATTTTAACAGGGTTTTATGACAACAATATATCACTTCACGAATTAACAAAATAAAGTCACGAAATTTACACTTAGCACAATTTATTTATTTATTTTTTACATTGGCAATCAAATTAATTGAATTTAAGTCTTTAATACCTGATATATATATATATATATATATATATCTATCTATATATATATACATACATATATGACTTTTATTCATTTTGTTTCGGTGTAAAAAATCATAAATCATGAACATCAGATAAAGAAAAATAGACTATTAGTAATTGGTGTAATTTTCTGTTTCATTTTATTCACTTAAATAATATCTTAGCATGAGTGAAATTGCCCATTAGGAAATTAAATGAACCATTTTTTTTTTATTTTTTAAGCCTATTCAAAATATATTTTGTTGGCTTTATTATGGATGGTGCTATGTGGGAGTTAAAGTTTCTTTAAATTTATGCCTTGAATGGCGCACATTAAAAAGTACAGATAAAAATAGAATTAACAAAATTTCACACTTTTATTTAAGGACAATACACTAAATGCTCACATATTCACGTGACATATATTGGTGACATGCCCATATCTCATGAATTTTTTTGTAAGATAGGGTTACATGGGAATCAATACCCCTACTTTTTTTCATGCATGTATTAAATAGATGCGTTCAGTACGTACAAATACACTAACTTCTAAACATGGCCCAACTTCACAAATGGAAGAAACCCTAATGCAAGGAACAGATTTTGGTACCAAAAAACAGAAGAAACCTGCACTAAACATGCATCTACCGACGTACTCATACAAAAATACTATACTCACGTACAAAATACATACATACACACCCATAAACAAATACGCTCTGAGAGACCAGTTCAATCCCCATTCACACCGGCGACCGAAGTGGGCGATTAGGGTTGCGTCACTCGCGTTGCAGGGAAATCAGCAGGCTATGGATCCTCAGCGAGCACCGCGAGGGAATTACTGGGTGCCGGTGGGTGATAGCGGGGATTCCACACGTGCATTGTCTCGGAGGTTACGTCTTCGGAACTAGGGGAAGATTGCAGGAGTTGGGGGATTTGTTTACATATCGTTGGCAGATGGAGCAATTTGGGTGCAGAGGGCAAGCATGATCGGCGATGATCGGGGGAGGAGGAGTGGTTCTGACGCTGGTGTCAATCTATGCAGAAAAGGCTGGCTCGGTTGCAGAGTAATTGCTACCTCAAAGCTGGCAGTCCTTGCATTGTGTGCTCTATCTCCTTGACTTTCTCAGCTCCCTTCCTGGCCTTGCTCCTGCCAAGCCCGTCACATTTTTTTTCTTACTGTTTGTATTTTCCTTCTTTCTTGTTTGACCCACGTTTCAATAATCGCACTGAGCTATTGAAGTGCTGTGCCTGTAGCCCATTTATCTGTGCCCTTCAGTTTTATCCATGTCGGTGATTTATTTCGTGGTTTTTTTAGTTTTTAGTATTTTTTTAGTTTTTTTTTTAGTTTTTTTTTTTTTTTAGTTTGTTTCTAGTAATGTGAAATCGATCTTGATTTTGGACAAAGCCTGGCGAGTTTGAACGCGGTTTGGCTACCGTTCATATTTGCTGATCTCGCACAGGTGGGTACTTTATGGGCAACCACCTTGAACATGGCTGAGTGATTTGAGATTGAGGTTTGTTGAAGCCACCCGTACCGGCTGGGTATTGTATTGAAGTCAAGAAGGTTGCGATCCGTTCAGTGGATAAGTGAATACTCCGCGCTTTCAATACTTCTCCGTGAGGCTAAATCTGTGGATCATTTATCGCGGATTGCACTCCCCCCTGAGTAGCTGCACAAGAATGTGCTGGCTTGGCTGCCCTGTTTCGGCAACTTTGCAGTGCTTGGTGTGAGCGCACTGCAGCAGCCACTTACAACACCTTGACAGCATTCCCGTTTACTGCAGAAGAGAAAAGGGAAGTGAAGAATGGCCATCCACGTCCTAGTCAAGACGGTGGCCTTTCAGTGCGAAAATGCACAATGATTTGTATGCAATTATGTCGCAAACTGCCTGCTCTCACGTTGATGACACCAATGCTCCTGTCAACTTCGGTACTTTTTTCTCAGAATAAACGAGTTCATCAACATTGCGCACATCTTCTCCTTCACTCATGAGTGTCCGAAACTCATCTTGGATCCATGGTACAGCCTAGTGACTCTATTCATGCATCCAGGGACAGGTGCTCCAGAGCAGCAAATGCTTTCTCGGCGGCTTCGGATGCTCAAGCTATTTCCTTTATGATTTTGTTAACTTTCCTTCGTGGCTGCATGCGGTGGAAGTGAGCAGCTCACGCTGGAGGGGTATCGAAACATTCATAAAAACGGCAAAAATTCCTATTGTAACGAAAGGTTCTATTACTCGTAAAAACTGGGACATATTCAAGTTCAAGTTTTTTGCAGTTTTTCCGAAACTGTGAAAAAATTGCCACTATGATTATTATCTCCTTTGGTGAAAATCCCTCTCCCTCCCCCTTTCGAATTGTTCACCGAACGGTGAATGAAAGTGCCGTGCTGTTCATTCAAGAAGCGACGATGAAGACGAACCTTGCTGTGATTATACATTTTTTAACAGCTTTCGGATGTGACCACGGTAACCGTGATTGGTGTGGAAACAACCTCGGAGGCTTCGAAACTTTTGAAAAACTTTGAGACGCTTTAAGAAATCTCACTTTTTGTTGCTCTTGTGTGTTGAGTGTTGCTAGGTTTAATTAGCCCGCCGTTACGAGGCCACGAAAGAGACTGTTTCCTAGATAAATGCCGTTGTGAAATCTTCGAGTTCATTCATTATTCATACGACATACAGTGAAGATGCTACCTTGAACGTGACAACGCGGGGCAGAGCTGGTAAGTAAAATTTTCAGGGCCCAGGATGTCACTCCAATTGACGTATGGAAATGAAAATGAGGCGCAATAAAGGAGCAACCATCACGAATCACCAACGGATTTGGCAGGAATAGTTGGGAACATGTAACAAAATCATCTTTCCTGAATCATACCGCTCCGACATCCTATACATGCACTCACACACCCACACAAAAATCTTATCTCCACTTCGTGTTGCGTCAAGAAACCTGACTAAAAATGCTGTTGATGGAACATGAGTAAAATGTTTGTAACGCATTGAAGGAGGGGATAATCCGCTTAAACTATAACCCGAGCCAGGAAAAAATTCACTCAAGCAATCGACGAAAAAACATAACCATGAGATTCACCATTCAGCATCGCCAAGTCCCTCCGCCAATCCAACTCTCCTTCTAACGGAGAATTTCCAGCACACGGTGCCGGAAGCAAAAATTGTGTTACTAACGCAAAATTCCAATAAAAAACGTTGGCAAGCTCCAAAATTTTCCTAAACCCTAATAGCCATCATGTAAACGTTTAACCCTTACATACATGTGGCTTGCCGGGCAAACGTAAGATACCCAGTGTGCCCTTTAGTCTCTGGGTATGGTCTAGCAATTACAGGGCGCGACTGTTTCACAATCGAGCCGGCAGCAGTCTTTGAACCTCCGTTGGGGTCCTCTGCGTGACCTTCACTTTCGGGTCCACCTTTCTCATCAACTTCACCTCGCTGCCGCTTATGAGGCGGCGATTTCGTAGCCTCCTTGCTAAACGTCTGCTCACTACATTCGAAACTGGTGCTAAGATTCTCATGGCGCACCTCATATGACCTAAGGAGAACCTCGAAAGTGCGAATATCAGCAAATTGGTGCTTGCTCAAAACCTCGCACGTCCGTTGGACTTGTTCAATGCAGGGGGAGAACGAGCAGACCAAGCCGTCGGGTCGAAGAGACCTCACCACAGAGGGGATAGCCAGCCATGGCTGAGGCAAGTCAAGGAACACACCATCTACGCAGCCCGCGAGCTCTTCAGGAAACCCCTCACCTTGAATATCGCGCACCTTCACAGTCACCACCCCAGACACGCCATTCCTGGCAAAATCCTCCCTCGCAGCATTCGCTCTCTGCTCATGGAAATCAAACGTGTGGACATGGCCTGTGGGCGCTACAGCCCGGGCCAGAGAATGCGTGAGAGACCCACTCCCCGTCCCCGACTCCAAAACCACGCTTCCCGGCCGCAGCTCCAGAAACGACACAACAAAACTGATATCCGCAATGTACAAAATCTGTGTTCTGTGAGGCAATGCTAAGGTCCAGAGTTCAGGAGTTGGGGCTAACAGATACACAAACCCGGCCCCATTCCGGCCTTTCACTTGGCATCCGAACTCCTTCCCCATCCATTCATTGTGCGGAAAGACGCCAAACCTGTTCTGAAGCTCCCCGTTCTTGGCCACCGTCACGGCTTTCATGCGATCATGACGCTCGTAGACGACAACGACGTCGCCTTCGCAGATCACTCGGCTCTTCTCGGATCGTTGCTCGGTAGGAACCGCGAGCATCGACATCGTTGAGGGCGGTGGGGTTTGTCCGAGACGGAAAGACCGTCTGAACTCGATGGCCCACGGCAATAACTTCCACTGCCAATTGCAAGATGCTGCGAATGCGAGCACCACCGACACGCAGTCCAAGGCGTAGGGCTTGTGCTAAAAACAAATACACTCGAATCTGCCGTAACGTTGCCCAAGGTTGGATTCTTTTTACTGTGGGTTTGCCTGAAATCGTCGGCGTTAGGTGATCGATTGATAGCTTTTGCGAAGGATGTTGCTATATTTAAGCACGTGAGAAACGAAGATATAAAAATTCCTCAGCAAGTGCCATCAGGAATCGAACCCGAAACCATCGTAAGAAATACGACAATCAAAAGTTGTTACAATTATAACTCTGCTAGAGTCGACCTTTATTTACTTAAATACAAAACAGTTCTCAGTCAAAATTTGAACTTAAATCCGCTTCACATTCTCTCTCCTATTGTTTAAGTGTACATGTAGTATAGTTTAGGCTACATCCTGCGCATTCTATCAGCCGTCCTGAGCTAATTTTACCTTTCATCAAATATTTTGGTTCCGTCACAAGGCGTCCACAGAACCTAACATGAACTCAAAATTGGGTTTTAAGATCAGAGACCCAGAGGTAGCCACTTGCATCAAGAGGACCCATGTGCCTCCATCACGTGTTAAGCCTACTTATACGGGCATTCAAACCCAGTTTTCTTTTTCTTTTTCCAAAGAGGAAGTGACAGTTCTATGAGACATGGTTATTGAAGCTGAAAACTGCAGGCAAAAATAAACATGCGATCACACCTGGATGACGAGTGCCTCTGAGATAACCAAACTAACTTGTCCGACCAAGGAGGATATGGAAACAAAAGTTGATTCCGTAGCAAACCGGATTCACAATCATTTAATAGCTTCCTAAGGATTTCTTGCAAGCGAGTCGCTCCATAGATGGAAGTTACAAGTATCCAGACACCAACCATGTCTGCGTTGATTCGGCATCTGGAGTGAGCAATTAACTTAGCGCATCTTCCGCTTGACCGAAGTAGCGCCCAGCTATCGTGATGAGAATGTTCAACATGTGTAACTCTTCGTCCTCAGCCGATGTTTTACTTGACCGCAAGGCAGCGCACCTAGAAGAAACAAAATACCATCGGTGACTTCGCAAGTTCAACATCTGCGGATCGGTTTAAGCGCTATGAAAAAAATAGGAGAAAGTTCGCAAATATACTCAATAATCCGCAATACCACAAGAATTTCAAACTAATAGCTCTGGACATCAAGATACTCAGAGAATAACCATCATGCAATGACATACTAAAGAATTAACGGAATCCCAAAAAAGTCAAGGTGAATATCTAGAAGGTATAAACTACAAGTGCAGTGCGTAAATAGGGACAGAAAGTGAAGAAATGTACCTTCTCAAAAGAGCCCGATATGCTGCCATTGTCTGCGCATCTAGAGGCTTATCAACCACAGCAGAGAGAGCAAAGAGCCATTGTGCCCGCCCTTTGGTTACACACTCCACTCTCTCAAGCCAAGCAATGTGGTATCGTAGGAGAGCTGCTCGTTTAACTTCGTCCAGTCTCATCAAAATACTGAGTAGAGGGGGATTTGGACCTTTTAGATCACTAGATTTCCGTTTAGCAGCATCCTTCAATCCGGTTTTAATGAGTTCTATTATTACCGTCGAATCCTGGATTGCATCCTTCTGTATGTTTGAGTCTGGTACACGACTGGAATGCAGCTCCTCATCTGATGACGTTGCATTGATACCCAACGCTGGAAATTCAGTTTCGGAATCCAGATTAGGAAGTAAGATATTGTCTGCATCCTTGTTCATCTCTATTTTGATCCCTTCAACTAAAACTTCATCCACGCTCTTAATTTTGTCTTCTGAAATTTCCTCTATCGCGCCTTGTGAGGCCTCGAGATTGTCTTCCACAGATGTTGTAGCTTCCTCCACCGGGCTGGCCGACTTTCCAAAGCAGAAAGTCTCCCATCCGACCTGGTTATGGATAGATGGCAAAGATCCACTATATTTCCTCTCCTCTACTACGGATTCTGCATATTTCTAAAGCACAGCAGTTCAAAAGAATCCTTATTCTGAGAGAATGCAATGCACAAACTTCTTCCTGGTATAAGAAAAAAACAGTGATAAATCCTATGAAAATGAGGAGCTGAGCAGAGCAGAAAGAGACACAAATGTAACGTTTCAAAAGAAACCTAGCCTAGAAATTTTAGGCTCGATTGTCCTGTATGTACAGAATTCGACTTACCATGCGAAGATTTGAGAAATCCGCTAGGAATTCAGTTTCCCACTCTTTGGTTGGGAGCAGATGAGGAGAGCAAGCTGACACAGAAGGTATTGATGGCATGTAAGGGGTCTGTTCAGCAAACTTTTTGGGATCGATCGTTGCAACTTTGACCTTGGGACAGCGTGCAAACTCCCATCTATTAACCAATAGAATATTAGAACACGTACATTCGTAAGCATATATAATTTAATAACCAAAATCTTAACACTTCTTATACGATTCATTGAAAATTTCGGTCTACGAGCAGCGAACCCTAGAACTCAAACTGAAGAAGTACCAATGCAAGCAAATCTGCAAACCAGAATTACTTCAGGTGCATCCAAAACATGGCAATAAGATGCAGAAAAAAGACAAACAAAGATCAATATGTAGTGATTAAAAAAATAAAAGAAAGGACAGAAACACTAACTTGACCCGCCGCAGGTACTCCCACCCATCTTGCGGTTCGCCGGATTCAAAGTCAGGTTCACCCTCAACTGCAAATGCCAGAGGCTGAAAACTCTCGATCTCGTCTTCACTGTCCTCATCGACCTCGGGCTCTGAAAACGTAGGCAGGAACTGATTCGGAAGATCCAAGCCCAATTCCAGCATAATCTCTTCATCAGGAAAATGCACCTCCGACTCGGGATTCGGCGCCCTCGCCTTCTTGCCTCGCTGCCGCCTGTCTATAGTCTTGTGCCTCGGTTTCTGAGCTGAATGATCCACGTCCATATCATACAACTCCTGGCTTACAGGCTCCAATACAGCACACACCTCTGCTACCCCAATGTAATAGCTATCCCCCATGCCCCAGTAAATCGCAAGCATCTCGTCTCTATTATACCTGTAACCCGCTACACCTCCAGCATTACCTGGATCCATATGGACTTCAATCTCCACATCTCCAACGCCAATTTCTTCCTCCGTCGACATACTTGCAAATCCGCTCTTGCAACTCCTAAACCCTAATTCCTATACCAACAAATCTCCGGAATGTTAACCACGATGCAGAGGGGGAAAGAACACCCAATCGTCAGCACATACGAAACACCAAAGGACACGGAAATGATTGGACATATCCACCGCTGAGGAATCAGCAAACCTCGCTGGAATTCACAAGCTTATGCTCCTCGCAGACACCAAACGGGTGTAAGACGAAATTCGAATTAGTGAGACAAGAGTCTCCGCCATTGCGACGACGCTGCCCTGGCTTGGCATGGCACCCGCGGATTCTGTGTCTCGCCGAATTTTCATTCAAGGGAATTCAACGCCACAATTCACGCGACGCTGCGTCGGTCCCATTCTTCGTCGGCGTCGTCGTTCGACGTCGACCCTGGAGCATGTCAGTACTAGATCATCGTCTTGGAGTGCGTGCGTAATTCACTCCAGTCCTGCGTGGTTTTTCGGAAACCCTAATTTTCCACCTTACACTCTAATTTTTCATTTCATTGAGTATGTCTTTCTCCTTGAACTTGTGCTCGGCTGACGAATATTGCCACCACAAACTAAATGTTATGCAAATACCCAATGATTGATGTTTTATTCTTTGAAGAGCACATTTTGACCAAAGTTTTTTTTATCGTCTAATTTGATTATGTAAGTTGTTGTATGTACATTGATTTTATAATAGACATTTGCTAAAAGAACAAGAAATAAAATGGTAAATTAACATATTTAATATGTATAAATTTTATAATAGTTTCAATGTTAGACGTAACAAATGATACATAATGATAATATTATATAGTTTTGTTTTTGCACATTATAAAGTTGTATTCTAAATAATTGATTAAAACCACTTCAATTAATTTATTCTGTAAAAATGCACATTATGTCATAAAATATATAAATGTTCAATAATATATAAAAAAATCAAGATTAATGAAGTTATATATATATAATAATCATCTTGTTATGAATTGCCTTTCTAGGAACATATTCCTAGTAAGATCAATGCAAAGAAGCTTAGACCATTTTATAGAAAGAAGTTAAGTATTGTGTTTTATACATAGTTCGAAGGTACAAATGTTTGGAATATAACACTTACAAAAGAAGAACATATATTCCAATTAGTTGTGTTTTGAATCATTTTATTACTTCTTATAACTTCTTGTAACTTCTTTTTTGACAATAGATTCCTATGATTCATGTTTAAAAATTATTCCATTAGAGTCTTGAGGAGACAAATGAGTAGAATAAAAATAATCAAATAAAAGGTATAGACTTTTGACATTTATGGAAGCATCTACACAAGGTAATATAGAGAAGATATTTGAGGGATATTAGAATTTGATTGATAAGGTGGAAAATAATTCTTCCAAATATAATATGCAAATGACATGTATAGAATAAGATATATAAAAAGGTCTTTAAGGATATTTTATTTATTTATTAATTATTTTTCTTCCAAGAGTACTATTATTAAATATTAGAATAGAATTGACATTAGAATTTATAATTCTAGGTAGATATAAATAAAATAGTAGATTCTTAAGTTATGTAAAGTCCAATGCAACATAAAATATTTATTAAAAAAAAATCTTTCAATTTTAAATTAAAGGATGCAATTAGATTTTGTAAAAATGTTTCTAAAGAACAAGCAAAAGTAGTTAAAATAGGAGATGTGGAATTAAAAAAAGTCTTATAAATGATGTACTCAAGACTTTATTCTAGTCTTATTAGTATTGGATTCTAAAAAAATCTTAAGAATATTTTTAATTAAAACTTAAATATTGATACCAAAAAATTATATGACGAAAAAAAAGATTAAATAAAAAAATTTATCAAATAAGACTCTTTAATATAAATTTTATAAGTTATATAAGAAAAATATCCAATAATAGTATTAAAATATTAAAAATATAATTTTGGTAAATATTTTACTTAAAAAAATAAATTTATAGTAGATAAAAATGCTTTAAAATTTTTTATTAGTTTTTTAAAAATAATAACTAAAAAATATTTTTTTTACATATTGCAATGATTTTTAATCTTTAGAAATTAAATAAATAATTAATCAAAGAATCCATTTTAAACTTTAAATGAAGAGTTAAAAGACTTTTAGACAACTACTAATTTATTATAATTTTAAATACTACTTATTAAATGTTACATAAGCATTTCAACTTAGAATCTAGTCTTTCTTATTAGAAGTAATTGATTGGAATAGCTATACCTCAAAAAAATACCAATAGATTACATCTTTTAGGTATAATAAAAGATTCAAATCTATAGTGTATTTATTTTTAAAACTTCATATTGTAAGATTTGATTCTTACTAGATATCATCTATATGACAAAGATAGAAAATCTTATAATTTATTACATATAGGATATCTACTAAATAGATCTTCTTACTCTAAAAGGGTTTAAAATTGTTTAGTGATATTAATTAAATTAAAAACTATGATTGCAAGAATATCAAGTGGTTAAATTTTATATTTTATATTGTAATCAATAATATAAAAAGTATAGATTAGAAATTCTACAATCTTGAAATAGAAAGAATTCAATAAATAAATAAATAAATATATATATATATATATATATTGTATTTTTTTTTTGGATTTTTTTTAAAACATAAGAAAGTCATCATATTTTTTAATTAATATGACATTAATGTTATAGAATAAGCCTTTGTTAAAGATAATATTTAAAATTTTCTATCTTCACTTTTAGAAAAAGATCATAATTCTATGTAATAGAGTTACATACATTCACAAGTGCTAATTTTTTTTTCTTTGCTATAAATATATATAATTTTTTGAATATATTTGTAGTTATAAAGCAATCTTTTGCATAAAAATAAATATTTGATACCAACTAGCTATTATAATCTATAAATCTATATCTTATTATATGTAGTATTTTTTCTTAAGTCTAAACTTCTAACCTAAGAATTATATTATTTTATTCATATCATATATTTTAGAAGTATGCTTCTACAATAACAAGCCAATTTTTTTTAATGTCTTTGAATTTGTTGAGAGCTTCATCAAAAATTATTTATTGGATTTTAAAAACAAGTTGAGTAAGATTTCTTGGATCTTCTTTGCTGAGATAGGAAATGATGGTTGAATTCTAATCCTAAATGTATTTGGTAAACTTGCATTACCAAAACCCATAAATTGTTATTTCTAAGATTGCAAGAAGGCAAAAAGAACATATATTGTTTATAACATTGTTAGTTTTTCTCTTTCAAAAATCCACTACAACATCTTTATTTTAAATAAGATAAATTATAATTATTATTTTTTTAAATCTATTTTAAGTCTATAGAATTTTTAGATTTATCCTAAAATTTAGTTAAATAATTCGTTGCTATTTTACAATTTGACTTTGTATATAATCCAATCTTATTTGATTGCAAAGTATTTTTATTTTTATTTTTATTTATTTTTATTTTTTAATATGGTAGTGCCAATCAATAAAAAGCCTTGTTCATTTTAAAGAGGACAATTTAATATTATATAGAAGTTATTTGGTGGAATATGTTTTAGGAATATGATTAAAAGTCTATAAATTGTATAAGTTCTTTGTCAAAATTTAGAATCTATTGTATATTTTAAAGAAGTTATTTTCAACCAACAAAGTAAAAAGTCTTTATTTAAATTCTTCTAAATAATTAAAATCTCATGTTCTTTTTTTGACAATTTTTAATAAAAAAGAGTCATATGGGATAAAAACTTTCAATATGCCATGCATTATTAATGCATTTATGGTTGTTTTAGAATTTACAAGATTAAGGCTTTTAATTTGAATATATTGAGAAGCCAATTTTATATAATTCTTACTTTTATATTTATTTCTTTCTTTACTTATGAATTTTTTTGGCTAATTTCTTAATTTTTCTTATTGTATAGATTGAAATATTCTAAACCATCAAAAATTAAGTAATAGAGACCGATATAACACTATTATTGTGTCATATTATGTAAAAATCAGCTTTAGAATGCATTAGGCATTTGGTTATGGAAGAGTTTGATCTTACTTAAAATTTGAATTTATAACCCAAAATAATGCATAAGATATTTAAAATTTTTTTTTTGGAAATCTTAAAGAATTTAAGTAAGTTTTCAATTATTCTAAGTATACCTTATTAAAATTTTAAAAATCCTAAATATATCTTATTAAATTCTAATTAATTTAAAATAAACCTATGTAATCTTTAAAAATACTAATTAAATATTAAATAAATCCTTCAAAGTATTAATAAATCCAAAAAATCCTAAAAAATATTTTAAAAAATTATAAAGATGCCTTTAAGAAATCTTAAAGAAATCCTATAAAATCCTTAAAAAATCCTTACATAAATCTTAATTAATTCTTAATTGAACTAAAAAAAATTCTTATAGCAAATATAAAACCTCAATTATTATTAAATCAATCCTTGATTTTGATTTATATTTTTAAAATATATTTCTTTATATTAAAAATAAGTATATAAAATTTTTAAAAAATTAAAATGATCAATTGGGAGAAAATGCACCTAATTTATTTAGGTGTTGGCCTTTGGCCTTTATATTGATCTTCTAGCATCTATTAGTCTCATTTTTTATCATTTCCTTACTCTTATTTTTTTCAAATATTAACAAAAAAGTCAAATACTAATTTACAAAAATTCACTTCAATCCAAATAAAAAATTCTTTAAAATTATAGAATTTTTTTATTAATTATTAAAACTTAATTTTTGATATTTTACTTTATTTAAATTTTAATAACATTTGATTCTTCTATGATGGATTCAGAGATGCTTGACTTATATTGTGATTTTTTATTTTTCACTTAATTGGAATGTATTACATTTTTTCTATTTCTTTTCATCTTTATATTTTGAAAGTACTTAGAAGAATGAAGAGGTAGTAAAGAGGTGATTTGTGATATTAATTTAAAAATTATGCAAAGATTATATATTAAACTTTACATTTTTGAGGTGAAAATATTAGCATTAAGATTATAGTATTATTTTGGATTCTTGGCTTGGAGCAATATCCTAATAGATTTATTCGAGTTGGATTTATAAGAGCATTTCTTTTTGGAAGTATTCTTTCTTAGTTTGTACCTTTGATCGAAAAGAATTTACAATTATTTTATGATTTGAATTCATACTTAGAAGTGTTTATGGCCAAATTTGAAGAAAGTGATCAAGAAAGAGTAGCACAAATCAAGTTCTTTTCTTTCAATAAGAATCATGATCAGCCACCAAATATGCTGTAGAATTCCAAAACATTACTTATGACATGGATTAGAATGAAAAAGCTCTTATCAACCAATTTTGATATAGGTTGAAGGATAACAATGAAGATTTATTACTAATAATGCCAAAAATAAATTATTTGAAATAATTT